TACTCAGTCACTTGCAAATGAGTCTTCCCCATATCTGGGGAATGTCCATAAACCACAGGTCAGTGCTTCCTACAGAGCACCACGGCAACTAGGTAGCTAGAGGACTGAAAGAGGTTGTGGTGTAAAAATGGCTACCAACCCCTGTCCGGGTACAGGAACCAGCCAGCTGGCTGAGGACATGTGGCCCCAGCAGCAGCATCTCTGGAGACCGTCTATCAGGAGGGTAGGGACATCCAGCTAGTCTAGCCAGTATACACTGAATGTGCTTCTAAGGCGTGCCTAGTGCATCGTGGATAGAGTGCCAGTCCGGCCAAAGCACGTAACTTCATCATGAGAGCTGGGGAACAGGTACTTACACTGTTGTGTTCAGGGTCTCCACAATCTCCTGCTGCAACCTTGGGTCCTTCCTGTGACTCTCCACCAGCACAAGGGCTTGCTCATAGCTGGCACAGTAAACATTATAGACACTTTCCATCTCCTCCTTGAATTCTTGGAATAGGGCACCTGGGCAGCAAAGTTACTAGAGTCACACTGGAGAGAATCCCCATTCACAAGGGAGGGACTGCCTCACCTTGCCAGCACAGTCTGGCCAGCTGGGTCAAAAAGAGCCCAAAGACTGAATGGATGTGGCAGCCTAGAGGAAAAAACCTCCAAGCTGAGGCTGAGGAACAAGGCAGGTCAGAGAGAGGAGGAAGCCTTTGAAGGCTGAGGCAGAGATGGAGGGCTCCACTCTCCCCACCACACACGCAGGGGAAGTTCCTCCTCACCCAGCTGGAAAAGGGAACACGAGGAGCTGGAGAGCAAACAAGACACAGCCACTCTAGGCCTGCCCCAGCCAAATGTAACAGAGCAACGAGCATCACTGCCTCTGAGGCACTCCTCCTAACCTGGCTGTGATGTCCCCCCACTTGCTCAGGTAGGTCTGATCTTGAGCCTCGTGCAGAGTGTGTTCCCCAGGGTTAAGCTCTCAGCGATTACACTGAGCTAGTGAAACAATCCGCTTTGATTAACACACAAGACCCAACAGTTCCTTCCTTCAGGCTCGGGATCCCTAGGAGAAGCAGGACATAAGTACAACTCATGCTGGCTGCAATGGAGCTTGATGCCCTGGATTGCTGCTCATGCCACAAGGCTGGCTAGGTCTGCCAGAGCTGCAGACAGCTTGCCAGGGGTGATGGCTGCTGAGGTGAAGCAGGCCCTTTCCGCCTGCAACTGCTGGGGAGCGACCATATCAGATTAGTGTTAGCCTGGCACACAGGCACAGGGCCACACTGCCACCTTCACACTTACTGATCAGAAGCAGCTGCTCAGGCCCCTGGCTCTCAGTTGCTTCCAGGCCTTTCAGGAATCGTTTGGATACTTGGAGGATGTCATCTATGTTAGAGAAAAGCCCTTCCAGGTCTATGTCAGGCAACTGAAAGGAAGGAAGAAGCCACAAGCAATCAGAATGAATTTGGTTCCAATTGGAGCATGACTAGAAACCAGCCTCCAGGCAGCCGTATGTGCATCCTTCAAGCCACCCTAAGAAGCTGCACAGAGGGCTGGCTGGAAAACTATTGCATTTCTCAAACCTTCTAGAAGTATCAAAATCTGGTAACATTCCAGGGTGGAGGCTCTGGGGGTGGGCAGGCACACAGGTGTCAAGACATGAGGGGGCAACAAATGGAAAACAACTTACACTCTCCAGTGAAATGTTAATACGACCATCAGAAGTTTAACTGAGTGAGATGCTCTGGTTCTCTGTATCCTGGCTTGATATGAACCAGGGACTTGAACGTGGGTTTTCCACATCCTAGACCAGGATCTTAAATGGCTGACTACAGAGTCAGTCTCTTTCCTGCACTCTCCATCCACTAAAAAACGATTTGAGTGCCAATGAAATGGCATCTGTCGATGGAAATGCTTTGTTGATAATATTTTGACCAGCTCCAGCTGCATGCACAGTTTTCCACCTCAGTTCAGAGCAGAGCATTCACTGCACTGCATGCCCTCGGTTGGATGGTCAAACACACACTGGAAGTTTGTATATATAAAAGCGGGCATGAACGTCTCAACAGGTAAAATCACAGCTGCAAGTTTATGGCTATTGTTGAAGCTGCCTCATGTCACAGGTAACTATGGGGTAAAACTCCTGCAGGGCATCTGCCACTCTCTGAGGAGTTGCTGGAGGGTTCTTGTCTCCTGGAATTCAAGAGGATTTATTTTTAGGGTTTGACAGGGGTGCTGGAACAACATGTATAGGGGGAGGGGATGCCGAGAGCCATTGAACTGAACTGGAAACATGTATGCACTGAAACCACTTCCAGCCAGGGGATGCTGTGGCACTCTGAGTTCCAGTCCCAATGGGCTTCGATGTCAATCTCTCAGGCCTGGCTAGACACCTCCCCATCTTCTCTCCTCTGGACCAGGCTATTGACAAGAGCCCTTTCCTTGGAAAGGGGAACAGGTATGGAGACACCACCAGAACATCCCCACACTGTGATTGGGAGATTTTAGTCTAGCTCTCACCTGCTTTTGCCGGAGGTGGGCCCGGATATCCAACACACACAGCTCAATGGTGTGGACATAACTGGCCTCTGTCTTGATCAGTTCTTCCACTGCCAGCCTTTGGTTCTGCTGCGCTCTGCCAAAGTGCATCATCTCTTCATATATGGGGCACTCAGCTCCTGGGGTCTCCTCAGCAGG